AAGGCTAGCACTCTACCACTTGAGCCACAGCGCCACTTCTGGCTTTTTCTGCTTATGTGGGCCTCATGCATGCAAGGCAAGCACTCTACCACTGAGCCACCTTCCCAGCCCCTCTTCCTTTCTTTCCCAGTCCTGGGGCTTGAACTCAGGGCCTGGGTGCTATTCCTGAGCCTCTTTGTGCTCAAGGCTAGCACTCTACCACTTGAGCCAGAACCCCACTTTCAGCTTTTTCTGAGTGGTTTATTGGAAGATCAGAGTCACACTGGAGCTCCTTCACCAGCTGGCTTTAAACTGTGATCCTCAGAACTCAGCCTCCTGAGTAGCTAGGATTCTAGGTGTGAGCCACCAGTGCCCGGCCAGATTAGATTTCTTGTTGCCCCAACCTCTGATTCTTGCCCCCACAAACCCCACCCTGGCCCACCTGTCTGCCCTCTCCCCCAGGATCTCACCAGCCAGCGGAGGAGAGAGGAGGGAAGTGAGGCTGCAGAGGACACTGACGAGGCCCAGGGCACTGGGGAACCGGTCCATCGGGACGATGTCCATGAGGACTTGAAAGAGAAGGATTCCTATCCCGCACATAGACACGCTGTACACCAGGCAGTAGCCCACGAGCACCCTGAATTCAGCAGACACTGGACATATCAGGTTGGTGAGCCCATTGAGCAGGATCGCCAGGCTGAATAAGTACTTCCGGTAGTCAGCAAGGCACTTCCGACCTACCAACAGCCCAGCGATGGGCCGCAGGAAGATGTTGCAGAAGCCCACAATGGACATGAGCAGCGCCGCCCAATACTCCTCCATGCCATACCGCATGGCGTACGGCACCAGGAAGATGTGTGGCAGCGAGTAACCCACGACCATCACCGTCACACCCACGGTGTACACGCAGTAGCCCAGATTGTGCCGCAGGATGTCACAGGCCAGGTGGTACAGGAGGGTGGAGCCGCAGGTTGCCAGGCAACCATGGGATGGCGTCTTGGGGAGGGGGGGGAGATGGTCTCTGGTCTCAGGGGCTTCACTGGTGGCCACAGGCCTCATGATGGCGCCGCAGATGCAGCAGTGGAGGAAGGCCCCGCCGAAGACCAGGAAGGCACCCCTCCATCCCAGCTCCTCCAAGAGGTAGCGGGCTAGCAGTGGCCACAGGGTGACGCCTATGGAGATGCCTATGGAGGCCAGCGCGTTGGCCAGTGGCCGCCGGCGGACGAAGTACAAGCCCAGCGCGGTGACACAGCCCTGGAAGCTGAAGCTCATGCCCAGGCCTGTAGGGTGACAGTGGAAATCAGTGCAGGGGCATTCTGGGACCTTTTACCCACACTCAGATTGGGGGTTGGGTGGGGAGTCCCACGGCTGCCTCTGTTTTTGTTTTTTTTGGGGGTCCGGCCGTGGGGCCTGAACTCTGGGCCTGGGCGCTGTCCCTCAGCTCTTCAGCTCAAGGCTAGCGCTCTACCACTTGAGCCACAGCGCCACTTCCGGCTCTTT